CCCAAATCATAAAGATATTCAACTTTTCAGGTCTATGAAGGCCTATCACTGTGGTTGGTAATGACAACGACGCTCCCGATTCTCATCAATTTCGGCACGATGTTCGTCATCGCTTTCACCATCTTTCAAGTGAAACAAGTAAAGCAACTCTGTGATAATCTCACTTCCAGGTGCTGGAATATTTGCATTGGCTCCTTAGTAAAGTTCTATGAAATTTTCATTACAGTACTCATTGGCTGTCTCGTACAGCAGTGCGAATAGGCAATTGCGACCAATCAGCGACAGAAGCTCTCGATTGAGTTATGCGAAAGGAAAACCTGAATTCGCCAAACTTATGACAGCACCATCCTGAATTGCTGATTATGTTTGAAACATAGTGATTCTTCCCAAAAGCTCATATTATGGCTTGAATCTCATCTTCAATAATGAACACATGGGACAATAAACCCTGTTTCAATTACAACACTTGTGTTTCCTTTTTTTGTTTGCTTTACTGTGATATTTCTTTACAGCATATACCACCAGGTGTTTTAAAACTATCCAGAGAAAATTGTAGCTCGAAGAGTTTTTTTCTCTCCATCAGGGTAATGTCATAGATGAAGCATCACGCTTGGGAGAACTGCTCGGTAGGTAAGACCCCTTTCCAGAAGGGAGTGCCCATACGACCTCTAGCTGTCGGAGTATTTGTTCTGTTTTAGCGGCTGCGTCGCGTGATGTCCGATGAACCTCTATTGAACTTCTCTTTCGTGGGGTGTACAACTTTATCTGCACATCTTTCGCAAGACGGTAGGTGAGTGATGACCCTCTCAGGACTCTGTCGCGAATTCCGCGACCTACGCAAGACCCTGGTAATGCCCCTATAAGAGAGAGACTGTAGAAGATAACAAATGAAAAAGGATTCTACATTAGTGTCCAGGTTCGACTCTCGATGAATCTGAGGTTCATCATGATCTGAGGTTCATCGGACATCACGCGACGCAGCCGCTAAAACAGAACAAATACTCCGACAGCTAGAGGTCGTATGGGCACTCCCTTCTGGAAAGGGGTCTTACCTACCGAGCAGTTCTCCCAAGCGTGATGCTTCATCTATGATATTACCCTGATGGAGAGAAAAAAACTCTTCGAGCTACAATTTTCTCTGGATAGTTTTAAAATCCTGGTGGTATATGCTGTAAAGAGATTTTATGCAATTTGTCATTCCTGCATTTCTTCACTGTCGCAAGCTTACAATTAGGAAGTCGTAGGTGTCTGAAAGTAATGTCATGGAAAAGAAAATGCAAGTTTTCGTTAAGGCCAGCACAAAAGTAAAAATGTGGAATCGCAAAAGTTTCAGCTCGCTTGGGCTCCGTACTTGCAAACTGTGATAGAAATAGGAAAGTACGAAACGAGTGTCGGATTGAACAAATCATCGTTCATGCACGACGACTTTGAAGAAATGACGTAACAGCGGATAGAAGAAAGTGAATGTAGTGATTTGAAAACGGCGGATTGGAAGAAATGCTGAGATGCGGAAATTCCGCAGAATCAGCATTTTTCCCACCCCCCCCCCTGCCAAGTCGTTATCCGTCATTTTCTCCCAATTCCGTGTTTCTTCAAATCGATACAGATACTGTCTTCTGTCCGCATATTCATCACTTTCGTCGAAGTTGTCATTTATGAATGCGGCCTAAGAACAGGAAAAAAATCGAGTAAGAGCATTTTTCCTCGTCCTGCTTTGTGACAGTCTGACAGGGTGACGCGAGAAAAAGCGCTGCAATCAAAGCAACCGCTGCGCGACCGTGCGCGTGCCAAAGAAAACTCTTCGCAAATCTCGAAGCAGCGCATGTTTTAATTACTGCGGCTGAACAGCCGTCTGCAGTTACTATCCTGACGCTCATACATTTCCGGCTGTAGGCTTAATTTTTTTCTTTTTTATCCTTTCGATTTTAAGACTGTGTTCGTGTTTTACGAGTTATTCCATTGAGGTTTACTATTTTTGGATCAGTTGCTCGCATAAGTTGCGAAGAACTTAGTCTAAAGTCGTTCAGACCCAAACTACGTTTCTACGGCATCATTTTGGATTTGTTTTCAGCGGTAGACGGGTGACTATTAACAGGGGATCGGGACTGTTCCGTTGGTCAACTACAAACTGTTTTTCCTGTGTGTTCATAATAAAAGAAAATGTTTGTCATGGTTTCAAAAGCGTTAATTTCTCCGCACCACTTTTTTTGTGGATTGCATTGGTTTAGCTTTTGTTGGAGCACCGCGGTTTACTCAAAATTCTCGGAATCGTGTGTGTCAGCTGTACAAGCGTTAATGCTTTTGGTCGTCCCTATAATTTCTACCGAACGTCGAACAATTGTCCTAAATTTTGTTATCACTTTCGATCGATCTTCTTTGCTACCCTTTCATACAGTCATACAAGTGATATGTATGTAGTTTATGTAGTTTTTATTAAGTTACGGTTCGCGCTGAAAATTTTTGGAAATCGAGGCCCCCCAGCCCCCGTTCCCTCTTTCTCCACCAGATTTTTTCGCCTCCTGTGCTACTTTTGTTATTCCTTTTGCTCGATATTGATATTCCTTTTGCTTTTGATATTCACATCATACCTACACCCTTACTGAACTTCCAAAAATTTTGGCGTCGACTGGAGCAAAAGCAGAGACTCTATCTGGAGGCTGGAGCAGATACTCTGACCAGCTACCAAAAATAGTAGCTCTACGTCGGACACTTCTGAACCGCGGAGCCTCCTCACTCCTTCATTTTTTCTTCCTCCTTGCTTCTTTTCCTTCCCTTCTTCTCTTTTCCCTCTTCCTTTTAATTTTCGCTTGAAATGCTCGACCAAAAGATGGGGAGACGTGCAACAGAATCGTCCGGGGCAGCGCCCGCGGCACGCGGCGCGTCGCGCGGCGAATGACTCAGCAGCTCACGTGCATTTGCTAGCCGATAGCTTTGCGACTGGAGCAATGATCTACTACAGCGTACATCCGCAACGTTTACCAGATTCCATCAATAATTGAAAATCTAACGATGTTTCTCTTGATAGTAACACACAATTGTTTGGCGGTTCCATAGACGCAACTTCAGGAAATAAACAGATACAAAAGAAATCAGATAAGGCGTTATTCTCCCTATGTTTATGTGGATTCACATGATTCGCGCAGTCGTCAGCGTCAATATTTGATAGATGAATGGTCAAGTTTTCCTGTGAGCTGCTGTAAACACACCATGGTTAAAGACCCTAATGAAGGGCATGCTCTAATGAACTTTTCCATTCTCTATGGAAAAACAAAGAAAAACTAAAAAGTCAACCCTCACAAGGCTATCCTGGATGATATGAATCTTTACCGTCCCTTCAATATCCCTATTCAAACGGCCAGACGCAAGATTTGTCCTCTCGCCGCAAGGCATGTCGCAGGCCACGCCCACCAGCTGCACCGGACGATTCTGTTGCTGCACACCCCAAAAGATGCCATAGGAAAATACCTCTGGACCCTCGTAGAGAGAGAACGTTTGGTTGACAACAGTCCTCATAGCAGCAACTCTGAGGCACCGCCGCCTAGGGGAGGAACTATACGCACGGAACGAACGCGCATGGAACGGGGAGATTGAAAATCGGGTAAATTTTTACCAGGTAAATGCGGCCCTCCCAGGTGAGCAAATGTGACCCCCTGAGGTCGTAAATTGTACGACGTGTCTTTTTTACAAGTGCTGCATATGGGTTAACCTTTGCTTTTTACAGCTCCTGTAGCTGATCAGGGTATCAGGAGCAGATCCCTCTGACCAACTACCAGATAGTAGCTTTGCGTCTCAGGACACTTCTCAACCGCGGGGCCTCCCCACTCCTTCCTTTCTTTTTCCTCATTGTT